GGCATTCATTTGTCAACAAAAGAGGGTGGTACAACTCATGGCAGGTTCACACCCAAGTAGGTTTACACTCACACACTTGCAGGTGCACCAGAAATCTTGTTTTCTGATCTTCTTTCTCACTTTGACTAACTTCTTCACATAGATTGGCTTCACCACACAGGTTCCTGTCTTCTTTGTTCACCCAGAACTTCAATTGAGCACACAACACTTTCTCAGCACACAACACTTTCTTAGCACATAGCTTTCTCTTCACACAGATCAATCTTCAACACTCACTCACACAGATTTCATGCTTTTGTGCTCGGATTTGCTTCACCTCACCCAGATTGCTGTTCAAAACTCTCTTCACACAGATTTTTTGGATTATGAACTCGGCTCACACAGAGCTTCGGCTCACACAGAACCGCAACAGGAACAGGTTCACATAGAACCTCTTCAAAGATCCCACGTGTTGAGCCTAGGGCTCTGATACCAAATGTTGGACCAGCCCCTACAGCCCCTGAACAAAATAAAAAAGAAAACAAGAAAGTGTTCCCTGTTGTTGCTGCACACGAAAAGAAAAGGAGAAAACAGATGGAGTTTCTTTAATCTGGACTCAACCACACTTCATTAATCAAAAGCAACTGGCTATAAATAGCCTACAAAAAACCAACGGGAATAAACAACCTAAAGCCTAAAAACTAGTCATTACTCCTAAAGAAAAGCACCCTACAGTGACCAAGTACACATCACGTTTTCTCAATTTAAACTTGGTCAAAGTCCTTTATTCAAACATTAAATAAACAATCAAATACTACCCATACCCATAACTTCAATAAACCCATGACCCATGTCAAGATTACCCAACATCTATCGGCGAATAATTTCTTTTGAAGTATAGATTTCATGTTTCATATTTATGGATTAGTGTTTTTAACTTAAAGTTTAGGGTTTAGCGTTCATAAATCACTCATTTTTAATATTTTAAAATTATCTTTTTGTTTTTTTATTGTTACTTTTGGCTTTCTTGTTATTTATGTCTATATTTCTACTTCTGTTATATGCTCAGAAACAGATTAGGTACACAGATTTGAAGTTGTTTCCTTTTGTGTTTGTAGGCATGGATTATGTGGACCCCAAGAAGAAAAATGGTGTTGTAGGAAAGATCCTTTTAGCTGCAGGACTTACTGCAATATGCATTCTTATGCTTAAACAATCCCCATCTTTCAACACCCCTAGTCCTGTATGTACACTGTATTCCTTTTCTTCAATTATGCCTCTTTCTTTTCTTTAAATCCATACAAAATTTGCAAAACTTTCTATTTTGGGATTCCCATAAGTTGTCTAAAATTCCCCTTTTAGGAAAGATTCAACAAATTCGTTAATGATGTTCCTTTATAGGTTTTCTATTAAAGGGTATTTTTGATATTTGCTAGAGGTTGTTGGATCTTATTTGTTACACTATTGAATTATACATTAAATATCTGATTCATTTTTTTTGTGTTTTTGATTTGAAGTTTTCTCAACATGAAACTGGTGTTACTCATGTGTTAGTAACTGGAGGTGCTGGTTATATTGGTTCACATGCAGCCCTACGCCTTCTAAAAGATAATCATCGTGTCACTATAGTGGTATTTTTCTATTTTAATCTATTTCTTATTGTTTTGATAAATGATGTTTAAAAAATATTCAAGAAAATGACAACACACTAATGAAAAGAAAAAGTAAATAACACAAATCTATAAAAAAAGTTATTATTTAATAAGGAAAAACTTTCTTTCTTGATTTATTAAAAAAGAAACATCCATATATAGTTTATCAGATTAAGTCATTAAAAAAATCGAAACTTTATACTTTTAAATTGTGGTGTGATAGGATAATCTTTCTCGTGGAAACCTAGGAGCTATCAAAGTTCTTCAAGATCTCTTCCCAGATGCTGGGAGACTTCAATTCATTTATGCAGATTTGGGTGATCCAAAAGCCGTATCCTTTTTGAAATTTAAACTCACAACCAAATTACCAAAATGTCTCTGCATGCTTGCCTTAGTAAGAATAAATGTTAATAATGTTTATTTGTTTTTTCCTTGATCAAAAGAGTTTAGGTGAACAAAACCTTTGCTGAAAATGCATTTGATGCAGTGATGCATTTTGCTGCAGTTGCATATATATGTTGGAGAGAGTACCGTAAAGTAAGTAATACTTGAATTGAATTATGACATAACATCCCAAAAATTGTGGGCCCCACTCCTAAGTACTTGGTTTTTGGAGATTATTAGGGAAATTTACAGATAAGGACCTAATCCTTCTTTTTTACTCTTTTTAACAGGAAGATCAGTCAAAGAATTTGTGGAAGCATGTAAAAAGGCAACGGGTGCATCCATTAAAGTAGACTACCTTCCAAGGCGACCCGGTGACTATGCAGAAGTATTTAGTGACCCGTCAAAGATCCTCCGTGAGCTTAATTGGTCAGCACAATATACGGATCTTGAAAAGAGTTTGAGGGTTGCATGGAGATGGCAAAAGTTACATAGGAATGGCTATAATCCTTCAATGGCTTCCATTTAAGATTTTGAATGTTTATTTTATTCTCACATGATACGAGAGGTGTAGGCATATATATATATATATATATATATATATATATATATATATATATATA